CTATTCTCTAAAAAGTACAAACACACCTTTCCTTTGTTTGCTTTGCTGACTCACAGAGCGAAAGCGAAGGAGCTCTGGGAGTGGATGAAAGAGCTGGAAGCTGAGAAGTTTGAGCTGCAATACCAGATCACCAGCAAAAAATATGAGGTACGTGTACATCTGTATTTTGTGAGCGGGTGACCTTGTTAACAATGCAAAAATTGGGAGCTCGACAGAAGTGGCAAAAGTACTCCCTCCAGGTAGATATAAACATACTTGTATAAAAATGACTGATAAAAGTACAAGTACATATTTAACACCTACGCTTAAGCAAAAGCATATAAGCAGACCCAGATATGTATATTAGTACTTAAGAAAAAAGTATAGTATAATTCCTGTTTTGATAACTTCTCTGCTTACAAAATAGTTTTTTTTTTTTTATTGTTACTTTTCATGGTGGTCACAGGACATATTGACAAAAAAAATATATTTTTTTCTGAGTTATATTGACAAAGTATGTGGTAACAATGTTTTGAGTATGTGTTGTGATGCTGATCTCATCATTATTTGATATTATTTGATGACATGTTGTCTAAGAGCTAGCTAGCATTGGCAGGATCACCTCTCAAAATGTCTTCCCATTGCTTTTCTAAGGTTCCGAACTGAGTGACTAAAATGCTAAATGAGCTAATGTTACACCTTGTGTATTTTTTCCAGACTTGATGGGAAAAATGTAAACATCAGAAGCTTTGGTGGGGCAGAAAGTACAGATAACAGTTTTCAAATGTAGAGAATGGGAATAAAAATCATTAGAAAAATAAATACTCACATAAATGTACAGATACTGTACCTGCAAAATCTAGTTAAGTACAGTGCAGTACAAGTGCAGTTACAAACATTGTAGCCTCTGAGGGAAGCAAAAAAAAAAAAGTCAGGAAAAGCCTACTAGAACATTTTTAAATTGTTTGGCATTAATCAGAGGCAGGTTAGATGGCGGCAGGTGTGTACTGACTTCCATTTAACATGTGTTTGATTGTGAATGGTTAATTGCGAACACAGCCACACCGCCAGTTACAAGTGGATGTGCCCACTTGTGTCACCACATAATCGCAACTTTTGTTTTTCTTTCCTCAAAGAGATTTTGAAAAATTAAATTGTGTTGCACAGGAATGGTGGAGAAAAAAAAGCTGTGTGGACTTTTGTGTGTCGCCTTTTTTTCGATCCACTGTTAATGTCACTCTACAATGCAGGTGTACCTGATGTGAATACATAACATGCCGAAGTCAAACTTTGATCTTTTCTTCTTTGCAGATCAACGTACTCCGGAACCGTGTCAGTGACCACCAGAAAACGTATAAACACTCAAAATTTCATTTCATGCAGCTCCTGCCTGCAGCCTGCATGTCATCTTTCTTCAAAATGAACATTCATATTAAGTGTTGTTTTGTTTTTTTGATTAAGTGGAATAGCAACCATTGAACTAGTATCTTTTTGAGCAGAACCCATAACATTTCACGTTAATTTCCAAAAGGAGCTCGTCCACTGAATTGTGCACGTCTCTGCTGAGTAAACTCCCGCTTTGATGATGCTGCAATATGACTAAAAAGGGAGTAATGGGGAGCATTCCTGTTCTGATTGTTCTAACTGGATGAGCTGGCTGCATGGTTGGGTGCGGCGCAGCTGTCAAGAGTCCACACCTCCGGCACAGAATGTTTCACACAACGTACTGCTAACTGACGTGTTATTTTTGGAACGGCAGGATGATGAGAATGAGAGCAAGAAAGGCTGTTTGCGAATGCGCTCTGTGTTTTCCACAGATCCAAGAGGACCAAGAGAGGCCTGAGGAAATAAATGAAGCTGGAATAAGATGGAGGTTGAAATCAAGCAAGCTCAAACCAATCCTCACTCGCAACTCTTTCCAAATAACAGCCATCACGTATACACAGGCTGCATCATGACTTACCATTACTGTATTTATGGATGTTGAATAAATCATTTCATTTTTTTTTTCTCTTGACTTTGTGAACAGTCAATCTGGGCAAGTTCACCTCTTGACACAGCACCGTCGGAATGAAAAGCCCAAAAAGCCGAAAGCAAAGAAAAAATGAGACGGGTTCCTTATGAGAGACAGGCACTGACTTGACTGGGACTGTTGAAATGATCCCAAGGTCACAAAACTGACACATAGCTGAGGTTCAAGAAAATGCTGGAAGTCTTCATTCAATGATCAATAAAAACCATGAACAAGAAACAGGGAACTTGAGGTGTAAAGACATGCAAAGGGGGAAATACATTAAAAAAAAAAAAAAAAAAGATTTGGATTTCAACGAGTTTGTACCTTGTACCAGGTTTGTAGTGAGAAATGTGACGGTGTATCATTACATCGTTTGTTGTGCAAAAATATGACTAGATTACCATTGCAGATTTGGTGTACAGAAAAAAAGCAGTTCTTCCGTGACTGAGTGACAGTAAATGCTGGTAAGTATATGCCTCTTATACATTTCAACAAAACTTTAACTGCATCGGCGTGTCCTAATTTCAAAGCAGTCAAATTAAATCTACTCATGAAAAGAGAGAACGATAATTGTCAACCATCTCCATTTTGTTATCGCAATAGCATAAATGCATACAACATTATTGGAAAAATACCAATGTGTTGTTCAAAACTTTTTTTTTTTTTTAATCCTTTGTATAGATTCACAGTCACCCAGGTTCATGATAACCCGCAAAAGATGACTCGAGGAAACTGAACTCACCCTTTGTGTTGTTTTGTCTTGTTTTCCAAGAATGACTTGAGCAATAGAGTAACGATTTGCGACGTCTTTGTTCCATTTGTTTGCTTAAGTTTATTCATTAGACTATGGAATGGTTGGGCATGATAAAAAGAATTCCCAAATACCAATTCTGTGTTTTGAATTCCTCATTTTATTCATAAAACAGAAAAAACATGTTAAAAAATAAGCAAGGTGGAACATGAAATATAAATCAATTAATTTGCCTGCTTATAACATTAACAGAAAAGGAACATTCAGAGTTAATTGTACACATCGTTAAACATACTGTCGCGGTGAGTTTAATGAGTTGCCAGTAGCGGGTTAATATAGCAAACGCAATGTAACCGTGTCACATGTTTCCACAGTGTAACATAGTTTGTCCTATTTTCATGTTTCAAAATATACCAATGAGTAAGAACATTTTAAGTCGTGATCATTTGAGGAGATCCTAACGTCTCCTCCTGATTTAAAGGCTAATGCTAACTTATACCAAGCCAGGCTAGGCCAACTGTCTTACATGGGATAGATTTCTCCTTTAATATCATTCTGGTAAACTAAAACAATTTCCCCGTAACTCAGTGTTTAGCAAGAAATTAAATTAACAAAGCACACGTTCCCATTTTTCTTTCATTCATAATCATCATCATCTCCTGAGTCCTCAAGGTCACAAGAAAGATGTGATTAGAAGTGATATATTTAACCTTTTTCACGACATACACATACTACTCAACAGAAGCCATAAAAAAACCTCACACGCAAGTTAACCAAGCAAAAAACAAAAACTAAACACACTTGCCCATTTCTATACACAGATGCAAACCAATCCAAATTAAATACATACAACACCGCAGGATTAATAATGACGTTTCAAAGGGTTTTTTTTTCTTCCAACATAATATGTAGAGCAATGATAAGATTCAGAATTGCTCAAGCCCTTTTAGTGCGCCGGTTGTGAAGGCGATAATTTTACCCTCCATGTCGCAAGGGTGTGGCCTCAACAGTGTCTTAACATGCTGATTTCCATCTAGACGCACACACAAAGATCCATGAAAAGAGGCAGAGGTAAAATGAAAGGAGGAATTAATCCCACTGCTGTGCATTTACCAACCCTCAATTGTGAACACACAGGCATTCCAATAGTATACCTCTGGGCAAACGTGGCGTCGCTCCCCAGCTTCCACATCACTCGATAATCTGCACGGACCTGTACGCCGCCGTTGTGCTGTCGTTGACGAATAATGACTTGCTCATTCCTATCTGTGGATCAGACAGTTCAAAAACATGAGCAGTTAGAGGAAGTCCACCTTGACAAGACTCATTTAGCGGTTGTGAACATTCTCAAGTGCAAATGTTTACAACAAACAACCTCCAAAACAATAAGCTATGCTAGCAACAACATCGTGATTCATGACTAAAACTGAAGACCTTGTGAAGTGAAAACAAAAACGTCTTATAAAATTGGCACGCCATAGAGAAGAGTTTTGCTAAGAAGCCTGTCAAATCTGAATGGATTGAACAGGATATAAAATTGAGACATTCTCTTGGCTATGTGAACAAGTCTGCAGAAAACGCTGAAAACACTCCACGCTCAGCTTTCATTTGTCAATCAAATACATAATGAATGTACAGTACTGTATTTGTCTTTCGTCTTTCTTATGCCTGCACATCATGACATGTTTGAGCCATAAAAATATAGACGTTTAAAGCCGGTGACAAACAAAATGCTGGCGTTGAAACATTGAGCGCTAGCCACCAGCTAGCTAGGGGGCTAACAGGCTTCCGGATGCCTCGACCCAGCAGCAGGATCGTTCAATATTAAGTCCGCATAACAGGGACACTTTCGGGAAAGTTAACCGCTTTTCAAGACGGTGGCAATGTTATTCAACCTGTGGCTCACACCACAACAGACTTTAGAGCACATGCTTCCTGCTAGCTATATACACACAATGCTTTACGTTTCAATATATTACAATAGCCTGAAAAACACAAAATGCCAAATACTTCAGAAATTAAACTAAAAAAACAAGCTGTTTTATAAATAGTGGCATCCAGAGTAGATGCATTTTTTTCTGGGTGTAGGCATAGTTAATTACCTAACTGCATGCTGCATTGGTAGAAATGCTGCAAGTAATTATAACTAGTAAATCATAATTGTGCCTGAGAGCCACTGATGACAACACAGGTGCTCAGCTCTTATATAACGGGGGAAGGGCAACACATGCGCTGGATGTTCAAGTGCATCGCTGGGTGCTGTTTTAGCCATTTAAAAAAAAAAAAAAAAAAAAAATTGAATTGGTGAAAAAATGCTGCATCTCCACAATTGACTATTTGGACAGGTCTCCGTCTTTCCACATGTTTACAGCAATTATCTTTTATTAACATGTATTATGGATTACGATACAAATAAAAATATATACTGCACACAAATAAGTTCCATTAAATTGTACTTAAATAAAAATTGTTTAAAATTAAAATGCAATTAAATTGTACTTAACTGCACTGCACTTTTGTAGTGTTTTTTTTTTTGTACCATGAGTGCTAACTGTAACACACTTAAAGAATCACTGCAATATTACTTGTACATGTTTTCCCTTCTTTAGTTGAGATCTTGTTGCTCAAAAATATGCGCCATTCAGCATGTCACATTTCTCTTTATGCAAAGTAGCAGACTGTGCTTGTCTTCTTGACGGCTACATTTCAGAATCTTTGTGTCCTGCCCTTTTTTTAATGTCTCAGTTTTCCTCCATTACTCCTCCCACAATAGATGGCGAGTGCTGCGAACCAGTCTGCCAGGATTCCAAACAGACTGTTTCCGTGTTCACGAAAGAACTTGGGTGGGGCTGGACAGAGAAAGTGAATGTGCAGCCAGACTAATAAAACACACGAGAATACACACTACTAGCCATGTTTTGTGTGTGTGTGTGTGTGTGTGTGTGTGTGTGTGTGTGTGTGTGTGTGTGTGTGTGTGTGTGTGTGTGTGTGTGTGTGTGTGTGTGTGTGTGTGTGTGCATGCGGCTGCGGACCCAAAAGAGTTAACTGTGCATGTTGTATTGTACTGTTTTTGTTATGTACCTTTTTCAAGATGCTTTGTAAGTTCTTGTCATTCCATAAGTGGTAGAGGAGCACAGAGGCTGCTTTGCTGGCTTTGGGAAAAGAGCTGGAAGAAGAAGATGAGAAAAAAAAAAAAAAACAATTCTCTGAAATGACTACATATTTTAAGCCATATTGTAACCTTCCAGATGGAGTTTCACAAGATACATCCCTGTTTGGTTTCCAAATGTCGACAAACAGTTTATTTGAATAAGCTAAAACTTTGGCCCCACCGTACACCAAGCGACGCGGCCCAAAGCGACCCAACTGTCGCTCAGTGTGGAGCATTCTGCTCCTAGTTTTCAAGAGCGGCAACTAGTTTTAATGCGATTCGAAATTTTGATAGCACATGAACAGCATCACAACAGTCAATACAAATGCCATGTCGTGTCACGTGAGTTTTGGTTTCCAGTTACAAAGTGAGATTCATCTAGCTTCTGCCAAGCAAGCTGTGCCATTACAGTTTATACAGTGTGTGTGTGTGTGTGTGTGTGTGTGTGTGTGTGTGTGTGTGTGTGTTTTGTCTGTTTATTTATAAATATAAAACACACACACATACACACACTTAACTACATTTATAATGTCACATGTATGTATGCATGGCTAAAAAGGGAAGCGTGGAGAGTGTCAGTGAAATGCACTTATACAGTCAATGAATGAGGTCATCATTGACATTGTCACACTCCCCTTTATTTCGAGCTTGTTTTCTCTTTTTGCATAACTATAATAAGCTAGAACGCCCAGGGCATTAAATGTTGTTTGTGGTTCACTACAAATTTTCCAAGTACAGCAATTGTCCAATTCGGTCACATTTGGGACACGTCTGCGGCGGGCGAGAGGCTTATTTCACCTTGGCTTCAGTTTCAAATCTTAGAAACCCACCCATTCCCACTGAGGTCAGCCAGTGATGACACCAAATCGGCATCGATAAACTTCTTGTTGACCTCCGTGTCCGCCATCATGAGATTGCGCACTGTGTTGCAAGCTGTCGCTATGTTTTCATCAGAGTGGCCCAGCTCTCGGGGGCCGGCAGCGAGGAGGCTGGTGAGCTCTGGCAAAACCTGCTTTGCTACACAAAAGACACGAGACACTCAGCGCTGCTGCCTGGAAAGGAGACGACTACAGATCGCGCATGGTTCTGCATAACATGTGACGCTTCTCACCCATGGTGGCCTGCAAGCCGCTGGTTCGACCAATGTTACCCAGCAGGGACACAGCGGCCTTCTGCAGGCTTGACTTAGGTGACCTCAACAGAGGGGCAATGTGCATCAGAGCCCCCAACTTCTGGACCAGAATCTGGCTCATGGCACTGGACCCCTGGAAGAGACAGATTTCATGAGTTGAAGTTGCGTCTTTCATTGCGCTGTCTTACGCAAAATATGCATATTCACGCTTTTCTCCGTAATGCTGACAATACAGTAGATTGTCAGTTGGAATTGCTTCCCAAAGGGCTTTCAAATCCTGTTCGTGCTTCGCCACAGAACACAGCTGCTACACTCCAGACCCCGGGGCCAGATCCGATCTGCCACATCGTTTTGCATTGCCAGCTAAAGGCAAATCATGTGTGTCGACGTCAATTTTTTTTTTTTTTTGGGTACGTGTGTGCGAAAATCTGTTCCAAAATTCTCTTTACTTTTAATACTGTTGAGATATTAAGTATTTATTTTACGAAACCTCTTTGGAAAATGAATTGAACAACATAACTTGAGCAATCACTAAGACTAGCTAAAAGGTTGACACATCCCTGCTTCAAATGACATGTTTTTTGTAATAGCAACACAAAAAATAAAAAAAAAGATCAACCATCTTATGCCCGAAGACAGCTGGGATAGGCTCCTGCAGCCTCCGCGACCCTTGTGAGGATAAGCGGATCGGAAAATGAATGAATGAATGGATAAACCAGCTTAAAACTTTTTTTTGTTTAAATCTCACAGCCTTGTGGAAAACGTGCATGATCTGATGAAACCAAGATTGAACATTTTGGCCTTGATTCGAATGTGGCAAAAACAATACTTGTCATCACCAAAAGAACACTATCCCTACAGGAAAGGGTGCTGGCAGCAAAATGAATGAATTGGGGGAAGGGGGGGGGGGTCCTTCAGGCAAAAGTGGGGCCTTAAACAAGGTGGAGGTAATCATTAACATTTTTAAATATGAGTCACTGTTAGCACAAAACCTTCAGACGTTTCTTCAAAACCAGAAAAATGTCAGGAAAAGCCAACTAAAACATCTACATTTTATTTTATTTTATCTACATCATAAAAACCTAACAATTGAACACAGGCGTGTCGACTTTTTATACCCACTGTGTTCTGTATCTACAAAAGGACTTACAAGGTCTTTGCTGGCAGTCAGGTTCTGCAGCGCACCGCAGCACGCCTCCAAGGTGGCGTCTTTCTGAGACGAGCTGAGCAGAGACAAGTAGGTCTGCATGGCTTTGGGATGGCACAACCACTTGGCACCTGTCGGGTCACCTTCGTTGAGCATTCCTCGAACGTTATCAAATGAAAACTGAAGAGAAGAAGAGGAGGAGGACCTGGTCACCTTAGACAAGATGGTCCGCGGGGTTTCAGTAATTTCATTTTTTTTGGGGTTGTTATTGACCTGCTTTTGAACCTTGCCGCTCTTGGGGCTGAAGCATCCGACCGTCGGGCTTCTCCTGCCAGATTGGCTCTCTGTCGTAGGGATGAAGTCAGCAAAGCACTTGGGGGACTCGCTCTCCAGCTGGTAGGTCAAATTATGGAGGATGCATGCACAATTCTCCACAGACTACATGAAGGGCACGGACAGGGAGAAAGTTCAAGTCAATCCATCTATTTAATATTTAAGTTTCACTTTTTGAATTGAACGACTGAATTGGATGACATTCTAATTTATTCAGCTGCGCCTGGACATACTCAAGAATTCCCTTTATGATGACTAAAGATTTAAGCAACCGAACACAGGCTACCTTTCCTTGTATCCATTTCGAGAATAACAAAGGTTGAACACTCTCAACTGTGTACAGATGCCGAAGGCTAGATTGACAGGAAAAGCCAGTGCAACCCATTTAAAAAGGAGTTGCTTGTGCGTGCAAATGATCTGAAGCATGAATTCATTATATAAACTGTGAGCGTCACATGAGGCATGGGAGTGCAGTTCACACTACTGATCATTCCAGTCAGACAGCCAATGAGGCGAATGTCATAACATGATCTTGAAGTTTTTAAAAATTATTTTACTGTGGTTAATAACACACAAAGAACGCTATACGTTTCCTTCTTTCTATTGCAGGTTTCTTTTATGGAGACGTGAGGGCATCAGAGGTGACGGCTTAGGCTGTACAGTTTTTGCAAGCCAACTGACATTGGTGCAGTGTTGCAAAATTGCCGCCTGGCAAGAAGTTTTTCTGTCCCTGACTGCAGTTCAGCGCCAGTTTGAGAAGATTTATGGCCACCACGCCGCTCCGGCAGGGGCAGGAAAATTTCTTGCCAGTCAGCAATTTTGCAATGCTGCACCAATGTCAATTGGCAGACCAAGGGCAAGGGATTGATAAAATGACTTGTCTGAGCACTGACTAGCACCCATTTTAAGCTCTGCCACAACAGCATGCGGGCCTTTCAGAGAATGAGCCGGCCAAACCTTGTCATCGGGGTTGTTGTCAGCCACGCAGGACTGAAGGTAGCACATGAGGGAGTCGATAAGTCCACGGCAGTCTCTCATGGCCGTCCTCTCTCTCACTTGAGCGCAGCTCAGGTTGCTGCAAACATTTGAGGCTTTGGCTCAGTGAGATTCTTTCATAAGAAGGGCAGCTTTGTATTCAGTTTGAAGTCTACAGAAGTGAACAAAAGGCCCATCCTGCTGTACAAATCCTATGAAAAGTCATAAATAGTTCACTCTTTGTCCTCACCAAGTAAATCAATTCGCGACTAAACCAAAACAGTGCACTCGTTGAAAACTACAGACATTTCACAAAACTACTCGTTGCGGTTTGTAGTTTTGCCTCATTGCGTAACACGTAGTTTGTCTCACTGGTATGCCCAAGTTGTCCTACTCGTGAGAATAAAAAGAGCGTCCTAAATAATGCCTGGGCCTTCAACTGGATGACGAATCCCTTTTTATTTGAGATTCCGCTTTCCACTACTTTATGACAAGCCTATGGGCAAAAGTGTTTTCCATGATATCCTGAAGCGCTCTCACCGCAGGCACCCGGTGGTGTTGTAGAAAACCTCAGGGTGGATGTTGTTGGTGACGCTGTCGTCCGACCAGCGGGTGAACGGCACCACCACGTTCTCGGTCAGGGCGGGCAGCGCCGTGGCGATAAGTTCCCCCTTTAGCTCATCGGCGGAGGACAAGTTCCACAGCAGGCCTAACATTGTCAAAGAAAACCTTCGTTTTTCCCCTCGCCCTGCGTGATATTTTGCCCGTGTTCAAATACGGCACCTGTGATCTGCTTCTGTGTCTCACTACAGTCGGTCTCCTTTAGTAACTGCAGGGCTTTGGCGATACCGCCGCAGTGTTGAACCTGCAGCTTGTTCTTGTGGTTCTTGAACACCAGGTTCCTCAAGGCTCCAGCGGCGGCCTGACTCACAGCAGGACTGGGGCTGCGCAGCAGAGTCACCAGAGTGGGGATCCCGCCAAGCTGGAGAACCTGATTGAGAAACATTCGCATTGGGCTATGGGAGTGCAGACACTAATCCAGTGCTGCATTTGAAGCTGCAGTGATACGTGATGGACTCCTTTGGTCATGTTAACATCCAGCAGAATTTGCTTTTTGTGGTTTGAAGAAAGCTGGACTTCAAGAGATTGCTTTGCTGAATAGACGAGAATTTTATCGTTCTTATTTCTTACTTCTTTTGCTGAAGCCACAATAATAATCGCAGTCATTGCTATCCACAGTGTTGGTGTAGAAAGGCGCAGCTATTTTGCCCGCTCGGCAGACACAATCGTGGGCACACCCGATTCGTCGATTAACTTCCACACATAGTGTCAAAAACAGCATTGTTTTACTTGAGAAAAAGGAAAGAAACCATTGTAATTTCCTGCCGCTTGCTGTTGCCGATAAGGTAGCTCGTGCTTTTGTGACCACGAGGATTTTTCCAATTCTTTGCGAATAGACTATCCACGGGAGTCTTGTAAAGACACTTCACCCGCTCCCAAAATGCAGCTCCATAATTCCTAACCAGAACCAGGAGCAGAGATAGATACCTTGACGAGCTTGTGCTAGTTTAGCAATTGAGGAGAAGCCGACGCGCCAAGGACTTGCGGTTCCAACATTTCGAAAAGGCGCTTCGGAGTATAAGGCGCACCTTCAATGAATGGTCTATTTTGAAACTGTTTTCATATATAAGGCGCACCGCTTTATAAGGCGCATAGAATAGAAGCTACAATAGTGGCTGTGGTTACGTTATGCATCCACTAGATGGAGCTACGCTAAAGGGAATACATTATCATACAATACACAACCGCTGCAGCTGTAACAAAGCACTTTACAGAACATTTAAAATACGACGTCCAAGAAATCAGAATATTGATCCATATATAAAGAGTATCGGATTATAACGTACACTGTCGGCTTTTGAGAAATTAAATGCTTTGAGGTGCGCCTGATTGTGCGGAAAATATGGTACTTGCTTCAAAAAGCTCGCTTTTACGCTCTGACCTCTTGTTTGGCACGATCGTCTTTAAAAGTGGTTTGCTGAATGATGGTGGCACCACACTGCTGGAACTTCTCCTCAGGGTGAGACAAGAACTCGACAGCTTCCTTGATTGTCAAATCCGATGCGTTCAGTGAACTGTTGATGCTGCAGATGCACACATGCAGTTTAGTAGGAGCGCACGTTTCTTCTGTTGCATCCGATATGGCTACAAGAAATAAACTCACGCTGATTGCTGTTCCATCCTGGACGTTTTGATAAACTGAGACTGGTCGGGAGGCGCTTCTAAAAACCGCTGTTGGCCCATTGCCGTGGGGAAGCCATTGCTCGTGGAGTACGTGCTAAGTCTCTTGACTTGAGTCTGGGTGGTCTGCCCTTTGGCTCTCTGCCAAATAACAAATGCAAATGAACTGAAATGAATGATAAAAACATGTCAGCAACTTCCCAGGAGAAAAAGTGATCACCCTGATGCTCGCAGGAGCCAAGGCGGGATCACTGCGGCTGGGTTTCATCCCGACGGTATTTTGAGGCCAGTTGGAAGCATTGATTTGTTGTTCCCATCCACCAGTGGTGCTGAGGTGTCTTGCTCCCAGGCTTTTTGTGGACAGAGACCGACTCTTTTGGGCATATTGCTACAAAACGGGGGGGAGAGAAGCTCTGTTTTATTTGGAGAAACAGCAATGTGAAAACGGGCTTATGTGCTGGGTTAATGTGGATAAAGTTTATTTTTCCTCATGCGCACCAGGTGGGAGAGGACTCAGTAGCAAGGCTGCAGGCTTTTGTTTTTCTTTCACTCTTCTGTTTATGTGGAGGGCAGCAGAAAGCACAGAACAATCACACAGACCAAGAGCAGGAAACATAATAGCTGCAACTGGAGACTGCCCACAAGAGCAGCTAAAGACAGCAGTGCTTTGTGCGCAGCACTGGCACAACCTGAATTCACAGACCCAGCCGGTGCAATTAAAATCGTATCTAATTACAGATTGTTGCGTCATCAGTTAATTTTGTTTGTGAATGTCTCGCCGTGTCCTCTGATGACATCTCAGTAAATATGCACCATAATTAATCACTGCAAATGATTAATGCCGAATGCAATATCGCTGTTACCTAAATGGCATTGGCCTTCTGCATCCTGTTTTTTTCTTCGACTTGCTTCAGAGCACACAGGTCTTAAATTTTACAGTTATCTAATGTAGTACTTACTGTATTATGAGGGGAGGACGATAAACATGGACAATGTGTTTATTGTCTCCCCTGCCCCAAAAAAAGAAAAAAACAGCTTGTATGCTGTGTTTCAATAAGGTTGATTGCAACTCAGTGCACTTTATTTGAAAAATGTTAATTTTATTTGATATCTCTCTCTCTCTCTCTCTCTCTCTCTCTCTCTCTCTCTCTCTCTCTCATATTGTATTATCACCTTGCTGCGAGACAAAGCAAGTTGCGTGAGGAAGATGAGAACTGCCTGGTCATGAGTGCATACACTAAGTAATGTTCATGCTCATCATGAATCACCAGAGGCTGGCAGGCCTTCCTATTAAACAGACACACCTTTCAACTGATGGCCTGCATTCAATTGCCCAGACATTAACTGGGGAGCTATTGGAACACTGGAACTGTCTGGGAATATTGGTTCTTTCCAGCGTCACCTGCTCCATCAAAACACACATTACTCTATGTATGTGTCATAATTAACGAGTAACAGATAAAGTTGACAGCCAGTAACAGAACAAAACTTGGACATTGTCAGCTCATCATTTTCACAAAGCAAGACAACCTTTTTGGTTTGGTGAAGTCTTCCTGTGTTTGTCTGGTCAATCGATAGGCAGTCACGTAACTTACCGTTTAACTGCAATTGTCCGTTTGTTTAACCTGCACTGACCTCGGAAGACAACTATGTTCAGCATCCTTGTTTAATGGATACCATTCGAAATCAATAGAATTCTTCCCGCAACATGAAACAGTAAAACCGTGGTTCAGCCAATGTTTTGCTTGGATTTAGGAGCCAAAATTTGGGATGCAACTCTCGTATCAGCGATCAGCAGTTTCTCACATATACTGTATCGCAAAATATTCTTCAAAGGAGAGGCTTCAAGCAGCACTCTGAGTTGAAGTTTACTGTCAAACTAAACATCAAATAATGTGACTTCAAACTAGTGATTTTAAAACAACCCCAACGCTTTCAGTGTCCACTTGCTAAATGCTGACACGCAATGCAAAATACCAAATAGGGGCTAAAGAATAGCATTTATGTTGCAGCAACAATAAAACAATCACAGACATATATTTGTTTCGTGAAAAAATAAAATAAAATAAAATAAATGTGTGGAGTTTGCATGTTCTCCCGGGCCTGCGTGGGTTTTCTCCGGGTACTTCGGTCTCCTCCCACATTCCAAAAACATGAATGGCAGGCTGATTGAACATTCTAAATTGTCACTAGGTGTGAGCGTGAGCGCAGATGGTTGTTCATCTCTGTGTGCCCTGCGATTGGCTGGCAACCGGTTCGGGGTGTCACCCGCCTACTGCCCGAAGATGGCTGGGATAGGCTCCAGCACCTCCCGCGACCCTTGTGAGGAAAAAGCGGATCGGAAAATGGATGGATGGATTGATGAAAATAAAATAAAATAACAAAAACAAAAACAATAAATATGACTGCAGCAACTGAGTCACTTTGTTGAGAAACTCTTCTTCATTTGTGTCTGGTTTGTGTCTGGGTGGCTGTATTTATTATGTTGCCCCCCAGTGGCCCACGTGCGCAAACCAGAAGGAGCACGAGGGCTGGATTATAAGCATTTCCAGTCCTTTCAAAGGGGAGAATAATTTGACAGTCCATCCATCCATTTTCCATGCCACCTATCCTCATTAGAGCTGTGGTTGAAGTGGAGCCTATCCCAGATGAATTTTGGCAAGAGGAGGGGTCGGGGGTACATCCAGGACTGGTTTCCAGTCAAACGCAAGGAGCATACAGACAAGAGTCATGCTTGCATGCAGGTCATGTCAGGAAGCCTAATCCAATACATTAATGATTAATTACAGAAGCATGGAAATGTTTGAATGACTAAACAGAAAAACATTATGAAGAATGTTTGGCTTTGTTTCTCTCAAGGTGCACAAAACGCAATGGGAGTGTTCCACAGGATTAACAATTACCGCTTTGTTGTACGCTGCCGACTTGGTTGAGACACTGCGACCGAAGGTGCCATTGGCTTTGGTGGGCAAAAACTGGAATGTTCCAAACTCGTCCAGTGGCGACAAGGGCGACACAGTGGGGCCTGTGGAAAGAGGACACTGATGAGGGTGGGAGGAATAAATAAATAAATAAATAAAGGAACAAAAAGTACACTACAACATGGCGGGATGTCACTAGAACAATTGGTAAACATGTCTGTCTTGATGAACAGAAGGAAACAAAAGATCCACTTCATGAGCATCAAAGGTACGTATGACAGAATAAGGCCATTAGTGGAACTTGATTGTTTTCAAGAGGAGTCATGTTTCCACCTTTGCCACAGTGTGTCATTAAGTTGGAAAAAGAATAACATAAAAAAAAAATTTTAAAAAAATACAACTGTTCCAAGAGGTTCTCTCATGCTATTCCCACATTGGTGCTTGAGTGTGAAAGAGATATGACATCATGTCACCTGCATGAACTTGTTTCAGCTCATTTGTTTGTCATGCGTGATTCATAAACGCATGCTAATCATGGCACAAAGACTGACGAAATCATTAAAGGATAATGGTGTGTTTGTCTCCCTGTTTCCAGTGTTGAAGGATATTTTACCAAGATGTTTCTCCGCCACGCTTTCTGCTCTTTGTATGTTATTAAAAAAAAAAAACAAAAAAATAAAACTAAATGTGTCATACGAGCAATACTTTAACCCAGGGGTCTGCAAACTGCAGCTCCAGAGTCACAGGTGGCTCTTTCATCTTTCTTTTGTGGCTCTCCGTGTCTTTGCAAGGTAAGGCAGGACAACTCAATGTGCTTCACACAACCAAAAGCACTTAAAAGTATTTCCAAACAAAACAACTGAAGACATTCAAAGGCAAAGCAAACAAAAGTAGCTTACTAAAAATGACTGAAATTAAGTACACTGGCGTAACGTTAAAAATTAAAAGCAACGTACAAAAATAACTTAAAGCAGCTTACATTTACTAAAAGACCATATGGTGAAATTCATTAAAAACATGCTTAAAAGACCTTTCATCAAAGAAAGCGGGGGAGGGAGCACTGTTTTCAACTAAGAGCATTTAAAAGCATTTACAGTTGGGATTGACTTTGCTTCTGTTGGCAACTTATTCCATCTGGATGCAGCATCACAGTTAGATGTCACATCACCACATTTGCTTTAAAACCCGGGCTTCACTAACTGACCTGAGTTTGCAGATCTATCATAAATCTGACAGCTGCATTGTTATCCTCACTTTAGATGTGTAAAGGGTTTTGTAGCTTCTAATGTTTTCTTTTTTTTTCCCTTTGTCTGTGTGAGCTCTTGGAGGTTTTCCACCCCTGCTCTAACATGTCCCATTCTATGATATGTACACGTAAGCTCTTTCGGGCTGATTGTACTATCCTATGCTGAATATTTCGTGTTAAAGACTGATTTGGGGGGGTGACTGGATGTTCCAATCCGGCTATTTGATCAAACAAACTATAGGAAAAATTAGTCCATAATGTCAGGAAAAATAGAATCAATAGAACCACCCATGAAATGATCTTTGTCACATTGGACTGAAGAGCAATCAAACAGCTTGTACTGGATAAACCAGTAATGTGCCAACATGTGGTAATGGGGAATTAATCAGCTTGGTTATAGTTGTTGTGGTTACGCCTATTTTTCTTTCTGCACTCGTGTTGTGCATTCACTAGGAAGCCTTAATGTGCGACTGTTAGCATGAAGACATCATGAAACCAACCTGGATTTTCAACCTAAAAAAACTTGCCCTACTTTTCTGTCTTGATCAAGCCAAGCTCGAGATGAGTGCCAAATATTTGTCAAAGCCAAATATTCCAATATCTTTCGGTTAGGCCCGAAGTGATCTTATCGACTGCACACCACATTTCACACTCATGATCACGTGTCACAAGGGGGTCAGCAAATGATTACATGCGACTGTATAGAAGCTATCCGACAGCTTCTCGTCTGCACTCGGACTCTCAGCTTCACAGAAGAAACTTTTCTCAGAGTTTTTCTCTCCGCTTTGTCTTTCTTTTCAGGCAAGCAGTCAAGCTGAAAAAGCTTGTGTCTGAGTATGAGGGGTCTTCTAAAGCCACTGGGCTGCATTCCTCTCTTGAAGGGAGCAAAACACCCGTGCAGGGAAAGTCGGACATCAAGTCGTTGAGCGGATGCGGCCACAGATCACATTCACATATTGACCCAAAAAAGGGTGAAGCCGGAGTGCATCTCATGCCGTCTCTCTGTGCACAACAGCACGACTATACCGCAACTGAACTGTTTATCTTTTTCAGGCCCCCAAAAGCAGTAAAACTCAAGTATCAAAGGGTACTAAAGTAGCAGTTTTGAAAGTGAAGATACTTTTAGGGTGTCAGAAATAGGGCCAACCAAGACTCCATCGTACATATTGTGATATACTGTAGGTTGCATTCGTTACATACGCACAGCCTAAAGTTTCCCGACCTTTTCTGAGACCAGGGACATATCGCCGCTATACTAAAATAATGGACTCTTTTTTTTCTTTTTTCAGAAAACACTCACAAAAAAATAAAAAAATAAAAATCCCGGGACCAAATTCTGATTTGATTGGATTCGTTCATTTCAGGGATACAAATAAAGAATCAGTTTAACTCGGGGTGTAGCCGATTTTAGCAGAGGTGGCCAACATCCTGAGGAAAAGCTTTCAAGGCAAAATCAAAAATATTGCTTTGTCAAAATATGACTTAGATCATGACTTTAAGAGACGAAAGATATTTAACTGTTGAAAAAAACATTGTGCCACAGCTACAAATAAAAACCAAAAATAATTTTATGGTGCACTTTCTGTCACCTAGTTCATGGGTCTGCCTTGCACTATATACCTCGCTGGCACAGAGAGATTAACATAATATCACTTTATGCGTTGTAAATAAATAATTTAAGGACCAATCAAGTGAAATCTTTTTTTTTCCATGTCTCCTTATGTCTAAACCAAACTGCTGCTGAAATACATTCCATGCATTTGCAATACTGAGTAGCTTTGTGGTGAAACATTTATGATTTTTAGTCATAATATCCCTTTAAGAGAAGCCGTAACGGCCACGCGATGAAAACAAGTTAAGGGAAAAGCACCCACAACAAACAGAAGGAAACATAATACTGTAATAAAAATGTCTACGCAAAGTAAAGCAAATCTCCCAGTGCTTATGTGTTCTAAAGAGTTTCCTCTAAAGAGTCCAAAGAGTTTCCTCTCAGCGCACGAGTCAATTAAAAACAGCATTTGGGTAATTTCTTTTTCAGAGTGTTGCTTAGTTGGAAGAGACTGTTTTCCAAGTTGCACCCGCGCAGGATTATTAGTAGCAAAGTTGTTACATACTTGTAGGAGTGCCGTTCTTGCCATGCTTGGATTTGCTCCTCTTGATAGTCTGCACTTGATCCAGCACGCGGTGAGCCCCAGTGTGCAGCCTGGCGTCGGACGGCAGAGCCAGCGACGTGTCCTCGACTCTCCCGATCGTCATGGCCGAACGCAGCGGCTCCGCAAGCATCATCTCTTGCTCGGTGCTCGGTCGATCGTTCGAAACGCTCGCTTGTCCGAACCAGCTGGCTCCTGAATTGAGCTGAGCTTCAAGCGCGCGGCGGAGGTGCGCACAAAAACACGAGAGGCGTGGAATCCGCTCCACCCTAGTCCTGCGCCGCGCCCAGTCGAGGTGGGAACGCGCTAGACAGATGACACGATGACGAGGACTGACTACTGCAAAACATGCAAACGAGGGCACGCTGCACAGTACCAACGATTTATACACGCCGCCGGAACGCGTATTTTAGAATGTGTTTATATTTCAGGATGAAGCAAGAGAGAATTTTAGCTGTGTGTGAGGGTTTGAGTAGTTGTGCATGAGCACACTACACACTAACACTACATACAGTAAGAATAGTGAAATGTTTCGCTTTTCTTATTTCAATTGTGACGATTCTAGCTTGAATGCCAAAATTCACTGCCGCAAGAAACAACGTTATTTAAATAGATATTAGGTAAGAATAAGCATTCTACCCCCCCCCCCCCCCCCC